TTAACAGTGAGGGTGACAGAGCCCTGGAACAGGCTGCCCAGAGAGGTTGTGGAGTCTCCTTCTCTGGAGATCCTCAAAACCGGCCGTGATGGGAGTCCTGTGCCACGTGCTCTAGGTGACCCTGTGTGTGCAGGGGGGTTGGACTATGTGATCTCTAAAGGTCCCTTCCAACCTTAAGCATTCTATGATTCTATGATTTCCAAGGTAACTAAAAAAAGAAAAAAAGTAATTATGTGCTGTTTCAAGTTTTTTTTTTTAAACTGAAATCAGAAAAATATTTTTTAGCTCTTTCCAAAAGGTTAAACCTTTGCTTAGCTCTTTCCATCACTAGAGGCAATGACACACCACATAGTTAAGCAGCTGATAAAATAGCAAAGAGAGATTTCTAGCAGATGGTGCAAGGAAGAAGTGGTGCCTGGTACTACAGGCTTATAATTCAGCACACTTGAATGGTCAATAGAGCATTTGGATATAAAGCTTGGATTAAAAGGACATTATCTATTTAACTACAGCCCAAATGTGAAAGTGCAAGAAGCAAGCTTTATAGAAATGAAGTTCATATTCAGAATTTCTAATAAAAACATGTTTTTCTTAGCAGAATTTCTCAACAGAAACTCTTCTTCCCGATGATTCTGAAATGCAAATACTGCAGCACCAAGGGAAAAAAAAATTCCATCTCAAACAGCCATTTTGAGGAGAAAAAAAAAACAGGAAAAAAAGCAGACTATACAGGCAAGTTTCCTCCCCTCTTTTATAAGGGAAATTGTCTTAGGAAAGTGGATAAATATATTTGCTTATGAATTTATAGTATTCTTTTGAAGAATCATGATACATTCCACTATTTCTGCACATTACCTTTCCAAATATGCTCAGTCTCTTAGGATCAATGAACGGTTGTTTCAGTAAGAATCTGCAAGAAAAAAAAAAAAGATTTTTTTCTGTTTATTTTGGTGAATCCAATATGTAAAGGAAACTATTCACACAGGAATTGTCATAATAGTGAGTGATGCAAGAAACAACAGTGTCAGTAAAGTATTATTTCACTGTGCAAGACAACTTATAGATAAGTTATATATCTCATTTATACTAATTGCTGTCATTCTTCAGCTACTGGAGAGACATCCTTCCCATCTGGAAAGATGGTCTCTGACTGGGGAACAGCAGCCTCTCCCAGTGCCTGGATTTTCCATAGAGGAGGGAGCATTGACTGCCTTTGGCCAGAGCCCTGGCTCTCAGACAGCTAGATGAATGCAACTTCTTGAGTCCAGATCATTATCCAAATGATTAATTTTCTCATCAAGGCAATTAATCAGCAGTGCTGGATTTTATACAGGAAAGATTTAATAACCCTAGGGCAAAATCCAACTGCTTTTGAAGAGCCTCAAACAACTGCAGTCCCCTCTCTGAGCCAAGGGCTCTGCCCATGCAGAGCAGCCAGCAAGGGGCCAGATGTAACCTAGTCTGGAAACTCTGTGTTTGAACACAGAGCTTGCATTGGGTAACCCAGGCCAGGGCTGCTTCTGATGGCCTTTCCCCACGGGTCACTTAGGAGGGTGCAAGAAAAATTGCAGCCTATTCCTGGATGGCTTCAGTCCTATGAGCCCTCTTGCTACCATGTCAGAGACAGATCTCAGGTTGAGGTAACAACCCTTTCCAAATAGAAAAAAATAAAAGAAAAATCCAGCTCACAGCTTGCCCTGGCCTTTCCTGGAGGAGCTCCTAGAAAATGTCCATCAAGATCTCAACATCAGCCTGTGTGAGAGGGGCCCCCTTCATAAAGAGTGCTGTCAAAGACATGTGTGATAAATCTACAGTGGGTGATGACTCTCTTCTGCAGCTGCTGGATTTATGCAGGTATGAGAATGATAATGCAAGTGAGAAATAAACAGGCACTTGTCCAAGTTTGCTCTCATTTACACCATTATGAGTCCATTTGCTCGGTACGATAACTCCAGAACTCTGGTTGAAGGGAGAGCAGCACAGCAGCATCCTACTGAACGGGTCTAAAAGATTACACCACAAATGCAGTAAAATATTAAAATAATCAGGTATCTAGCCAAATGTGAGTGAGCTTAGATGGCATATTGAGACTGCATATCTAGAGCAAAGAACTTGCTTTATCAAAGAGAAGCAGCAACTGCCAAAGAAAGCACCTTCTTCATCTTTAATTCGCTGTTTGTAATGCAAGATGATTTATTCAAAATTTGCAACTCCATTAAAAATAAGCATTCATAGCATTCACTATGCACAGAAAATACTGTGGGCAGTGTCAGTTGGAAAGGTTTATTCAACGCAGTGGAGCAATAGAGAAGAAAAGTTTGCACATACGTACTCTACGGCTGCTATTTGGTCCTTCACTTCCACGGATCCCAAGCTCCGGTGGACTTCCTGCAGGATCTTAAGGCCTTGAAATCCACTCCCTCTACCATCGAATCGAGCTACGATGACATTATCAGAGTTGACAAGCACTGAGTCCCAGTCAATGTGAAACTTATCTGTAACCAACTGGCTGCCTGGAGCTTCATCACTGCAAATACCAACACACCAGACACAAACGGAGACTATTGACAACGTGAAGCACTTTGCCGGTCCCCGCTATTTCATTCAACCTCGCTGGCAGAGTTCAGCTGGCTACACCACCCTGCTGAATTATTGGCATTTTCATCGATACCGTCACGTTAGCCAGCACAGGCATCCCTATGGGAGCAGCAGGCAAATTAATTCCTTTAACATTATTAACACTCTGTTGCAGTGTTGCCAGAAGCTGGACTAGCTGAACAGGCTTTATGGAAAGGAACAGAAAAACGGAGCGCATGGTGCTCGTACGTTAATAAAGGCAACAAAACCTCAGCATCATCTCTAACAGCTAGCTCAGTTCTAGGAAATCTCCTGTAGAATTGAGTTGTGCTAAATGGAAAAAAGAGAAAATGTGTTCAGAACCCTGATTGTGATTTATATAATAGTCTTCAGAAGGATTGCCATCTCAGAAAACAAAAATAACTGCATTACTGTAACCTTGAATAGACTTTTTTTTTTAAAAAATAGGCAACAAAGAAGACAAAAGTACACACTGGAGAAAAATGTATTTTCTCCATTCAAATTCATAGCAGGAAATGGATGCAGACAGGAGTGATAAGTTTATTTTATAACAACAACAACAAAGTGGTTTATAGAGGAAAAGGCAGAAAAGAACGAGTGAATGCAGTTTATAGAGGAATAATAAGCATTTTCCATTGAAGGGATATATTTTTTTTCTTAAAAAAAAAATGTCAATTTTAAAAAGGGAGCTTGTCATTATTTTCCCCTAAGATAAACACAGAATAAGAGAGCAAGCTACCACAAAGTTGTACAAAATGCAAAACACTTCTATGCAGACTGCATCTGCCACTTGAATGCAAATTAAAATGTAAAAGTGCCTGTGCTGGCTGTATGGAAATTAGATTGGACAGTGTCTGTGGGAATATCCTGTCTAAGGTGAAAGAAAGATGAAGACAGAAATTATTATTTTGCTGAAGAAGTCTGAGCTTGAGAGAGTTACATAAACCTGTGGGAAGAAGGAGAGTTAACAACATTTCCTACAATAGCTACTGCCTTTTACATCCAGTAAAGTGCGGATTCAGTATCTTTCTTTAGCTGTGGATAACAGGTCACCTTCAAAGTAATCGTTCTATTAATTAGCAAGCATACGATGAATACTTATGTTCTCAATTCAGTAGGATCTGCCATACATGCATAGCTGGAATATTATATCCCTAAAACAGGATTACTTAGTTTGAGTTTTGTCAGAAATATGTTATGCTTAATTTTTCATTATCTTATTCATCTGGTTTACACTTGGCTTTGTAAAAGGAAGATAAGGTATTTTTGTGTCTGCTTAAGCAATTCAGTTGTAATTACACTTGTGAAAGTGTATTGTGAAAGAATGCAGAGCAATGAATTTGGAATTACTTATTGTAGTGAGCTCTGTGGAAAACACCAGCCTCTGAAGTACAGTATTGCTATTTTTTACAGTAGGAGCAGAATGACTCTTTCCATTTATGCCTATTGCACAAAACAAGTTTTTCTGAAGCCCTCTACACCGACGCCGCTATTTTCATAGAACTTTACTGCTGTTTAGCAGCCTCTGTGCAGTGTTTTTAGAAATCCTCCCAACTCTCACACTTGGCAAGAGCATTCCTCCCGAGCACCCTCTCCAGAGGGCATAGCTGGGCTGCTTGTAGGCTCAGACTTTAAACTCCATACATCTTCCACTCTGTCATGATGGGCTGCTTGACGTATTGCTTTTGGAAGCAATTTTCCACTGGCTAATTTATTTCAAGTATGTCCATATAAGTAGTCTGTGACAGGCATTTAAAGCCACTTCCATTGAGGTGCATGTCAAGATTCACATTAGCATCCAAAGGTCCCTTTATGCTTCAGTATAAAATGACACTGATTATCTGAGGTGTGATTCCCTTCTCCACAGGGAGATAGCATATATTCTACATCCCCTTTGGGTCTCACTTTACCACCCTTCAGTAGAGCTTCTGCAAGATATTAGTCCTTCAAGGAAGGCTGACCACCACCTTGAGGGCTCCATAAGAAAGCAGGCTTGTTACTACAGCACGATACTCGAACATAGCCCAAACTGTGGTGTTCGGGGATTCCAGCTGTCTCACAGGTCTGAAGTATTTGGATCCAAGCGTTTCAGTTTTGCACTCGTTGCTATTTATAGTCTACTATAAATAAGACTACTACTACTGCTACTAGCCTTACCTTCTGTTCAGAGTTACCCCATTCAAAGAATTATTTCTTGACCCCACTAATAAGCCAGGAAGAAAAGCACTTATGGTTGGGTGTAATACACATGTAGAACTCTTCTTCCCATCTGACTACAAATGGGCACTAGGGAACAAGAGATGAGCCAAAGTACGACAGCAAAACCACAGCCAGCCATGGACTGGCAATGCAAAGCTACAGGCTCCTGATCATCCCCCAGGGTATCCTTAAACAGCAGCATCCTGGGATTCTCCATAGTCAAATAACGAGAGCAGAATGATTTAGACAAAGACAATGCTTTATAATTCCTGATTCATCTTTCCCTTCTTGTACGTGACAGCATCTGCTCATTTTGCTTTTTGCTCCTGATGTTCAAAGTTCAGACCTACCTAGAACATGCCTTTAGCAGCGCCTACACTCAGATTATGAGTCTGCTGTGCAGTGCAACTGCTGATGACGCAGGCATGCTGCTCAAGTTTGCCATCCAGGTACCACTTAAATAGACAGAAGCCATCAATAATATGCCAACATCATTGACCTTAACGGATAATTTGTATGCGTCTTGCAATGCACTCACATACACCTCAGACTGGGAAAAAAAAAAAAAAAAAAGGCAGCTCATCATAAGTTCATATTTTGCTGAAAAGACAAGAATTTTTTTTTTTTTGGATTTTATAACCAGAAGCTTTACTTAAAGCCTCTGTTCATGGCTCTAGTTGCAGCCTACGGGGGATAATATAGTTTTATCACAGAGGCATTCCTGCTGTACTCCACTGCCACGGTGCTATCATGACTACAGCAAAATTTGCTCCAGGTTGTGCTCCACTTAAAAACTAAATGAGGAGATTTTTAAAGTGGAATTTTAGAAGTTACAGGGCTGACCAAGCAGAGGAGAAACAATTTTAAAAGATACTTGGAAAATAACTGCTATCATCGCTGTTTAATGTTCTGTACATTTCTATTTCTGTGAAAAAGTGAATTGCATACAGCATATGGATAGCAATACATGAGAAAGACTACCTCTCAAAGGACAAAAATCTATATACCACATACAAAAAAAACCCCATAACCCTCTGATAAAAGTCCTCTTTTGCTTATGGTGAAACCAAAATTGGCATAATGGAAAAATTCATTTCTCAGATCTTATGAGCATCTCTTGGTTAGCTTTCCAACACATCCACTGTTATGGGGCAAAATCAGGGAACATAAGTAGCCTGAAAACTGATGACACAGCATCCCAAACATTTCCTTCCTATCCATATATGTTTTTTGTATACACACACCTCAAAGCAGATCTTGTATATACAACTCCTCTCTGCTGACATAGCCAAGCCAATTAAAAGGCTCCATCAGAAGTGGTTCTACGAGCAGGGCAGAATCATGTGGTAGGAATGAAGCAGAGATCATAATACAATAAAATCACTATTCTTAAGACATAATTCCAAACCATTCTTCAGCCTTGAGAAGTTTGTAATCTTCTTTTTTTTTGGAATGCTTTTTCTTACAAACCTTAGATGACCTATTTATTCACAAAGTGTGTCCTGTCAGGCCACCCTACATATGGTAGGTGTTGCTGTAGGATGAAAAGGGGAGACAGAAGGCTAAAACGGAATGAGTAAGTTATTATTGTATTAGTTCATCTTAGTTCAACTATTCTCCAAGCTTTTAGGAAACTAGACTCAAGGGTAAGGTAGTGATCAGCTCCATCATTTCCCCGCTCACCTGGACTGCTACCCAAAATGAAATACTTGCAGTAAGCATTCAGTTTGTGCCTTGTCTGGCCTTAGCTAAAAGAATTTGTCTATATGGAAAATATTAGGAAGTCCAAAAGGTGCAGAAACAGTGTAAAAGAGTAAAAAAAAATAAGAGAATCTCCATTGAATAGTTTGAGGTAACAGCAACACAAGACCACCAGTAAAATGCTGCTTCACTAGACAGAAGAGGGAAGAATGGATGACTTGCAAATTAATTAATGACCCATCTACCCTACTTAAGGAGCCCAACAAAATTAAATTTTGTAGTTCTTTGATAGGGGATGAACAGGCACAGCCAAATGCAAAGCACTCCAGGGATGTGCTCCTTGCAAATATATTGCATTAAAAGCACTGTGATCTACACTTTGCTATAAAGCAAAGCCTTGCCCCTTTACTTGCAATGGCTGCAAATTAAATGCATAAGGTCTTTTCCAACGAATAAACAATAAACAAGATGTTTATGAATAAAAAGCATTATCATATCTCGGATGTCTCATATTTCCCAATCTTTGCATTATGCCTCTCTCCATTTCTGCTACCCTATTAACGAGATACTCCCAAGGCTGTGAAAAAACTTCACTTCCAGCCCTACTGTCTCCATCTTGCTATCAATCCTGAGAGTATATTAACTGCAGATAAACAGGTTTGATTGCTTGTGTGCGGGCTACATCTTTTTTCACTTCAATTATAGGTGAAGCGGTTCCTCTTAATTGCAAAAATTCCAGAAAATAAGTATACAAACAGATGGACAGAACACTCTTGGGGACATTTCCTGATTACATTGAACGAATACCTGTTGAGTGTATCTTAGAGGATCAGTCTACGGACTCAGGTCTACAATATCCACTTACATATTGGGCAGTTTTAAATGATGTTAAATAATAAATGCTGACATTTAAGATACATTATCTACAAATTTTGAAGGAATGAGGTTAATTATGTTCAAGAAAAAATAAAGAATGATTATCACCTCTCATTTTATTACTCAGATTAAATGCCAGAGTCTTTACTTAATCATTTCCTGTGTTTTACTAAGGAGTGTATCTTCCAACTTTTTAATGAGTAAGGTGAACCATAATGAGAAAATCAGGGATGTGAAATTTAAACTTTGATCCTAATTATATAGAAAAGAGATGATAATCACTCTTTCAAGCAATTACTGTACACCTCTCTAATCTATAGCTACGCTGTATGCATTATATCTGAAGGAAACTGAAAGTGAAATGTATTAGTAGTTTATGAGAACAAATGTAAGAAAGGAAAGTGTTATAATCTATTTAGCATTTTATAGGCTATGCATCACAATTCTGGAAAGAAAAATAGTGCTAGATCACATAGCTGGTTCCTATGCGAGATCTATATATCTGTTAGATAGCCCAGTTGTACAGATGAACATAAACTTTGACGCAGTGATACAGTGATCTTATATTTAAGTGCTGCAGCATACATTACAGCTGCTAATGGATGAGTCTTCACAAAATCCATATGAAGAAGATTACAGTTTGCTTTTAAACATATTTAGGGCCTGGTCCTGAAGCTGAGTTGGAAGAAGGTTATGTCTACGTGGAGCTATACTGAGTTCTTGCCAGGGTTTTGTGCCAGAACCAGAAGTTATCAGCACAGACTGTTTTAGGATTTGGAAATCTGGTTGTGTTAGGAAATGAAATTCACATGTCTGTATCCTTACATGAATACAGGAACCTTATTATAGTCACACATCTTTGATATGGGCATCAGCTTTCAGCAATTTGAAACAAACAAACAAAAATCTGGAATTGTGTGACCATGAAAATAACATAAAACCTTCTTCCATTTACTTATTTCCAGTTTGCGTTACTGGGATTGTAACCCCATAGCCAGAGAGCATATAGGCAGAGGACTTGCTGGTACCAGAAATTTACAGAAAAATTATGAATCTGAAGCATCGAAACTTTTTGGTCCGAATCAGTGAAACTGGCCACTAGGGCAAAAATCCTGCAAATTCAGGCAAAGGAGATCCTGGCAGCATCCATGAAGTGGGAAAGATGAACTGTAACCAGAGACTGGGAACTACTTGGAAGCAATCACTGTAGCGCAGACGGTCACACGCCGTTACCTTTCACAGGCCATAGGTAGCCTCCAGCTCAGGAGAGAAAGCATCGGAAGTCTATATGCACTTAACTAGGCATTTATACTGGACTGCAGAGACAAAATTTTAAACATTTTCATGTTTAAACTCTGATTCTCTTTTTTTTCCATCTTCTTTCCTTCTTAAGCCCTTGCCAAAATGCACCTCTACTGAATAGGAATGTAAAAACTACTTTATACCTACCTACTTCACTATTCCAAATATATCTTTTCTTTTTTTCTATATACCTGTGTGTGTGTATTTGCTTGTGGGTATATTTTTACATGTATATATTTATACATATAAAAGTGTATATAGCCTGCATCAAGATATTAAACAGAATTTGCACTCTAAAAAGCTGATATGCAGTTAAGCCAAGATTATTATCAAGAACATTGGTAAGTGCTCTTTTTTAAAATTTCAGTAGCTGGAACATAATGGTATTATAGCTGAGAACATAGGAACATAAAAATAGGTACAACTGAGCAATATGAAAGGCCACTAATATGATTCCCATGTAACAAGTCCTGAAGTGGAAAAAGGCATTACTCAGTCAATCCCTGAAGTATCACCCCGGAACTTAGAAAAGTCAAATGTCTGGGAAACGATATCACACACTCAACTTATTGGTGTTTCCTGTAAAAGCCACATGTTCTTCTTGGAACTGAATATTATTTTTCTTCTGCAAGTAGAACTGATAATGAAAAAACCCTAAGATGTCAATTTGGAGTTGTGGGGTCAACAAACTACCTCCATGCACACACATTTCCAATCATACTTTCTCAGGGACTGGGAAAGAAAAAAAAAAAAGTCATAGTTCAAATTACAGGCTCAAAAAATCATCCCACAAGGAAGCTTCTTACAACTTCAGTGACTGTTTTCAGTAGTATGTTTCATTTCGGGTTTATTTTTTTAACTCAAAAAAGGGTTGCTGGTGACCTTAGCTTAAAGTTTATAAAAATCCATTGAAATATAACTGCCTTCTGTTCTAACCTTGAGAATTCAGTATTGCTAAAGTAAGGATTTGATGAGAAAGAAACACAGCCTCTGTTTTACAAATGTGGATACCACAATTTGTGTATATTAACAAAATATTTTACACCCATATGCATTTTACAGGAAAAATATAAAACATATCCATACATACTGACTTGGTCAAACCATTGGTTCATTAATTCCTAGCTGAACTGGTTCATTGGTTCCTAACTTTGGTAAGTTCAAAATTCAAACCCTGCCTCAGTACCATTCTTGTCTATTTGAGCTTTTCATATCTAAAACCATTTCATATCAGGATTTGCTTAGTTTTTCTTTTCCTTTGTCTTTCTTGGCCTGCTTCAGGTTTCTGCTTCCTTTCTTCACTAGGTTTTGCCCAAGTATATGATTTCATATTCTACCAGAAGGATATATGGCAGAGTATGTATTTACCAGGATACATAAAAGGCAGGTGCCTCATGTACATAAAAGCAGAGTGAACTAGAGCTAAGTCTAACAAACTCAAAAACCCAGGGGTGTCTACCAGGCAGCACCTCCCCAACCATCTTATCAAGAGCAATCCTTCTGAGGTGTCAACTCAGTGAGGTAATTTTCCTGTGCAGGGATTAGCTGCATTTTGTATTTACTGACTTAAATGCTTTCTCTGAGGTAGTTTACATTATTTTAAGCGACTCTACATGGATACTTACATTATTAATAGAAGGGCATACTGGTTTCGATCCGTGAAATCTTTTGGCAGTGACAACTGTAAAGGGAGTTCTTTTAAGAAAAGAGCAAAACATTAAAGGCTGGTAGTTACACAGACGAAAAGTAGTGACATTTCAAGAAAGCTTTTGGTTTGTTAAAATAGCATTTTGCTAAATTTACCGTAATCCTCAATGTGAAGCATTTTAATTTCTGTCCTGGAATTCTTTTTCTTTAAAACAGCTTCTTTCAACACAGCATTATCTTCTAATATATAAAACTCTGTAGAAAAAAACAAGCAGCAAGTTGAAAGGTTATGGAGAATCACTGTATCAAAGAGAAATCAACATCCAAAAACATTTTAAAAAGAGACAAATGAGCAATGATAAATCTTGTAAATGAATGTTTTCTTTACACACATTCTTATAATGCAACATTTTTGCAGTTCAAAAACAATCAGCTATACATACCTCTATTCTATTTTCTGGCTTCAACACGCTTTGTTTTTGTTAAAACACAGCGAAATTGCTGACAAACACTACAAATACTAGTATCCTTGACAAGCACTAAGAGCAGCTGTTACAGGGAAAGGCTGGTATGCTGGACAAGGGCCTGAGCCTCAAGTGTGGAAGCTCTCTCCAGCTGGAGGCACAGGTACAAAATAAAATAAGGGCAGAATGGATTAGAGACGCCTGGAAGAGCGAAATAGGCTCTCTCTTCCATCAGTAGCTCCAAAAAGCGCATTCTTTTTCACCCTGTTACCATTGTATTTTATGTCAGGATTTAGCCAGCAGAGCTCTACTTGATCCCTACAAGTCCTTTGCCTTCCACACTTTGATGAGGAGCAAGACTTTGCAGATTGGTTTAAAGCCTCAGACAGATCTTAGGCAGTCATTTAGCATAAGAAAGGAAAATTAATTAGCTTTTTTTTTTCCTTTTCTTTTTTACCTAAGTTACCAATTTTGCTTCCAAAATGTAAATTTTAAACAAAATACCCTCTACTTAGGGCCAAAGGGGATAATTTAAGAAGAATGTTTGTTCTGGGCAGTCAACCAAAATGGCATAATTATAGTTTGAGGATGAAATGATTGATGTAATCCTTAATCATTGTTTTATTAATTGAAGAGGATCATCTAATCTTGCACTGAAACATTAGACATGAATTATCTCTCTCATTATTTGGTTCCCTGTTGTTGTGGCAAACAACCTCCCACTATCCTTACTTTGTTATGCTTTGTTGGCTCTACATAAATCCCCTTTAAAAAGAATTCACTACGAACGACATTTTAAATGCAAATAATTAAAAGCTAAAGTCTACCTTCACAGAACTGAGCAGCTCTACAGAAGTCAATGAATTTACTTTGAGCAATATGCAGCCCTTATGAAGTTTGATAAGATTCATGATGCTCAATGCTATGGCATTGAGTTTTGCATATACTATAGCCAATGAGAAAAAGAAAGAAAAAAAAAAAAGAAAAAGAAAAAGGAATTAACACTTCATAGCATGATACCATTACCAATAGGCTACTGCACACAGGCAAGACTACATCATCTGCTGTGGCTGACCAACCACTGGCTTGGGACAAGACATATATAGACAAGCCTAGTTCAGAACTTAAGAATTCTCCACAAACAATCACCAGAATAATCTACGGGTTTGCATTAGGACAGCCAAGGGTTGGTCCAGCATTTTAGAATGGAAAGACATCCCCTCTCCTCTAATCCCTGCCTTCACTCTCTGCTGCTCAAGGATAGTACATGGCACAGCGCCTCATGCAGCCAGGAAATAGCAACAGATTTGGTGCCCATATAGAGAAAGAAAGAGCAAAATTTGAAAGTATAAATGCATCAAATACCCTCTCTTAAAAAGGCTTTTTTCATGGATTTGCCATCACTGAAAATGCCAGTGGAGTTGCTCTGATTTGAAAAATGTAAGAGCTGACTTAGTTCACTTTATGTAGGTCAAATCTGATGATCAGTCCTCCAAGGACTGTACCTTACTTCAGGATAATTGGATTGTAACTTTAAAAACATTTCCAAAAACACAGGAAGTGTAATGCAATGGCAGCATAATTTACATACCAAATGCAAGGAATGAAGAACAACCTGCCATCTAATTAACTCAAGTGTAAATAGAAAAGAGATGCTGTGCACATAGCATAAAGCCTATCTGAACAGCCTGGGAAAGTTTTAGTCACTTCTTCCTCTATTATTTATAGATGGGGATGTTGCTAAAAAGTAATTAAGATAACTATATTTATAAATAAGCCATCTATTTGCTTTCAGTTCCTTGTAATTTGTTTTTGCCCTCCTCCATGCTCTCCAAAACAATTAAGGTCCATAGAAAAAATATAATAACTAAATAAAAATATAAATAAAAATATCTATAAATAGGAAATACTCACTTTCAGTATTACTTGTACTGTGTACACTAACAACTGGAACCCCTGGCCCTGTATTGAGAAAAGAATACAGAAAGTGTTAAGGTTGCGAATACTCAATATTTCAACAAACCATAAAGAATGAAAATGTCGGTAACCAAGTAAGGGCAAATCCTGCAAACCCCACATACACTGCATACATACTTCATTTCAAACCCGGAAGGAATTCCACTGATATCTTTGAGGAAGGACACAAGCAAGATTATGGTATCAATGAAATGTGAGAGCCACGCAGCATTTAGCCTGTTCA